TGGTACTATGATTTACAGTTACAGAGAGAACAGGTTCGTGGGTTAACGGTTATGGTCTATGGTTTTCTTTGTGGTCTCAGATTGGTTGTTATAGTTTACGGTTATACGGTAGGTTTGGTTTTATGGTATATGGACTTTTTATGGTTAAAGCTTAAACACAACTTCTCCTACAGTAGGTCCCAGTGAAGCTCAGGAGGGCACTGAAGGCTGGAAGTCCAGTTCTGGAGTGAACATTGCTCTGGAATGTGGTTAGAAGACTTAAGGTTGTTGTCTCCTAGAGCAGTGAAGCACCAAGACTGAAGAAGAAATCCAACCGCAGCTCAGTTAAAATGCCTCAATTGAAATTCGCAGAGCTGGGAAACGATGAGCTGTGGGCTGTGAGTGGCCAGAGAAAGGTTGCCATGGCGCTCATGCCAGTGACAAGAGAACCTGTTACACCAAGTTACTGTCAATCTTCAGACGTGACGTCTTTTGTTTGCAAAACTAACTGCAGTCAAAAATATAAAGTTTACAAGATAATGTGGAGATTAAGTCACACTTGGATGTATTTACTTGCAGAAATTGTTCTTGTAGTAAATTATATTTTTTTCTGGTGCAAAAACTGTGACTGTGATCAGATGTTTTTTTAATCTAAGCCTCTCTTTTCTTTTCTTTAGGACAGCCTAATTTTGTGGTGGGGGGTTTGTGTTTGTTATTTGCTATTTTTCACTTTATGTTTGAAAATTGTACAAACTAAAATAAATAACAAACGTAAATTGTGTATTATTACTTGCACAGTTCCTTTTTTACTTTCACCAGCACTTAAACAGCAGAAATATTTTTTTTTATGTCAGCTTTGTTTATTTATTAAAAAAAACTCATGGTATGTCACCCCATTCACACCTTCAATTAAAAGGTGTAATCTTCACACAAGGGGTGGCATGGTGTTGCAGTTCTTAGCATTGTTGCCTGGCAGCACTGGGGTCCTGTGTTCAATTCTAGATTTTGGGGTGCTATCTGTGTGGAGTTTGTTCCCGTGTTCTGATTTCCTGCTCTGATTTCCTCCCACAGTCCAAAGACATACTAGGTTAATTGGCTTCTGGGATACCGGTCCTGGTGTTAGTGTGTGTGTATGTCTTTGTGTTCGTCTGTCTACCCTGTGATTTCGTCCATGGTGTACCCTGCCTTATGTCCGTTGCTTTCCCAGAAAGGCTCCGGCTCCTCCCTGACCTTCAATTGGATGAACTGGTTAGAAAATGGATGGACGGAATCTTTGGATGATACAAAGACATTAAAAGGAGAAGAAAATTGTAAAGTAAAGAATTGTAAAGAATTTAACCTTGGAATATCAGCAAACTTTTTAACAGACTCTTAATCCCATATTGTGAGTCCTGGTATGGACATAAGCCACAGAGAGAACGGTATTGTTCTTACTTCTTTCAAAATCAGTGGCCTGCCTCTTTAAGCTCACATTCTCTGAGTGAGCTGGCAGACTTTCTGCTTAATCTGTGACATCACTTTCCCAAACACAGAGCCCCTTGGAAGTTTCTCCATATAAGGAAGAGAGCGAGGGTTTCACCTTTCTCTTCAGCTGGTGAGGCTGGGCTGACTCTTGTCTCTCAATGAGTAGGGCCTTACCGTACAAGGCAGGAGACCTGGTCCCGCCAAAGACATGTTTATGTTTCAGGCCTCATTCCAGCTTTCCTCTCCACACACCACATTCTTTGGAAAGTAAGTTCAGGGAGAAGACAGAGGACAGAGAAGAGCCAGGGTGGAGAGGTTGGGGGGGTGGATTCAGGCAGCATTTTAAGGAATGCACAAGCACTGTGGGTAAAAAAAAGTTCCACCTGGAAAAAAAATATTTGAAAAAGAAAAAAAACTATTTTGAGTAATGAACTCAGTCAGAGATATTTAGAATAACTTAGCTATTATTCTTTCCCAGCAATTAGAAATATATAACAGAGGGGAAAACAGGAATAGTATGTTTTTTCCAACTACAATATGTGTATTCATCAGCTCATCAGCAATTATCTGCAATGTCTCACTGGCAAGTAACAGGGCTTTTACTACTAATGGTATTCTTGGTAAAAACATTTAAATAATACCTTTGAAGAACACTCTATTTAAAGGTGAACTCATTTATCCTAACACGCTCATTCAAATCCACAGTAGCAAGTACTTTCTGTAGGTGGAACAACCTATCCCCCACCGAAGTATAAATAACCCCTCTAAGGAATGTGTGGGAGGAAACCAGAAATGTGGTAAAACCCTTCACAAGGAGAACATACAGGTTCTTCTGTTAGGGTCTCACCAAACAGGTGAATTTAATCTGGGTTTCCATGAACAATATGACTCTGCAAGGGATGTTTGTAAACTTGCATTTGATCTTATCTAAATACAGTACAATAATTGCTACTGCATTCATTCAGATTTGTAAACATCTTTTTAACTCATTACTCTTTTGATTAATTCTCACATCTAGTCGTAATGGTCCAGATGTGATGCCTGTGGAACAGTTAACTTGATATTTCAATTTCATTCATGATGAATGAAAGCTCAGCTGGTGCAGGGTTTGGAACAATTGTGTATTGTGGATTTTGAGAGTTACCAGGCTATCAGATTGCATTGAGACACCCTGTTTTCAGGAGACATTATAGTACACATCTGAAAGATAGATGACCTGATGCAGATGACATCACAACAAACTCAGACCCTTGCTACTGTGGACATTCTGGCAGGAATTTGTACTTCATTATTGTCAAACATGAGGGTTGTACATTCAAGAACTAGTGAAATATTTTTCTGATGGGGACTTCCTAACTAGAAAACACCAACAGATAGTGAGTTGGTGGAAGATTCTTGAAGCCAACAGTGTGTTTTCTAAGTGGAGACTTAATGTAATGTGTCAATGAAGCATTCTTATCTTCATTGATACTAAAAATGCATTCATCATTATAATGCCTATTTTGGTACTTCAAATAGTTTAAAATAGTTTTAAACATTGTTATAAAGTTATAATTACAATTTATTTATGTAAATAGCAAGTATCAGTAGTGTTAGAAAATTAAGAGATACACAATATTATGCATACGGTGTATTGAAATAAAACATTATCAGGACTAATGTCATATACTTGCATTTAAGAGCTGTCCTTACTCGTAGACCTATTGTCTGTTTTCAATGCTGTTAGCTCTTTGGTAATTTCATATTTCTAGTTTTGAGGGTTTTTACATCTGAAGCTGTTGTTTTCCCAGATTTTTGGAATATAAATCCACGTGTACAATAGACTGAAAGATTTAAACATACAGTGGCTATTTAAAAAAAATATTTCTGTACATCAGACTTTCTGTTTCACAATTTTATTGGGGGTTTGTTTCTTTCCATCTCTGTTTTTGGTGCAATTTCAGGGATCTTCTGGTCACCACCGTTTAAAAATATTGTTTAATCACCAATGCTAAACTAAACAAAAAACTGAAAACAGGTTATATGAATAACCACTTCATTAAATTACTTTAAATCATATATTGTAACAACGTCTTATACAAGTATAAATTGCTAGTAAAACTAAATACAACACTTTCAGGCACTGTTGTTGCTAGGATACCATTTACAAACGCTTACCAAAAAAGTTGTACGTCGCAATGATCGTTCGACAGGAAATTAAATGCAATGTTGCATTACTGCATCATTTATCTTTATTACATAAGGAAACGTAAAGTTTGCAAGTTTGAACTTACGCATATTCAGTACGCTTTGTTCTAAAATCTTCGAAGGCCGAGCTATCATAGGAATAAACATTTAGTCTGCACAGACGCATTAGTTTAAAATCAACAATTTCACAATGATACCATTTTCTTTGCCTGGCTATTATTCGCACAAAGAAATTGAAAGACTGTGCCTATGTGTGTATCGTTGTTGAGTCTTCCAAATCTTCCCAAATGCTTTGGAAATGATGTTACGTCATTGCATAACGATATTAATGCCGTATGCGTTACAATATTAACACAATCTGTGTTTACCTAAACAATCCTCGAATCAAACAGATTGCAGTAACAGCCATACAAGAAGCGGGGGGAGTATTTAGCTACGCGTTGTACGTTTACTCATTCAGATTTACAAACACAGGGGAATGCCTCGGTCCCAAAGGTTCACACACTTAAGTCCTACCAGGAGACTGTGGCTTTATTATTGCAAGACACAATTGCGCCAGCCCTGATACTGGACATACACACAATCCATCTCCCTTGTCTACGTTAGTGCTCCAGCCGCGCACTCGAGCAAATCCTCAGGGACAGCTCGTGTTTCAGCACAGCAGTCCTACACAGTGTCCCGCAAGAGCAGCAGCATGCGTGGGGTGGGTCTCGCCAATCCTACGCAATCTGCAGCACAGTGGCGATAAACATTCACAAAATGTGGTCAGGTAGCCAGATCTTATGTGTAGGAATAGAATCTCATTATCGTCTGAGCTACCTAGTTTCTGTAGGTCAATAACATATATAATGTGACTTGTATTGTGTGTTAAAGTACATAAGGCAGTTCTTTGGATAGCGAGTACGTGAACAATAACCCCCGTGAACTAGGAGCAAAGTATTCATTCCAGGTGCAAAGCGAAATTTAGAATTTTGAAGCACAAACACACTAGGAAAGGTACAGCACACTCTTGTAGACAATACAGGGCGCACCACGTAGTCTAAACGCTTTTCTTTTTCTCTATGATTTGCATATACTTTGCTTTGCATTTTATGTGATTATATTAACTACACCTTCAAGTGTACACGGGGAATGATTTGCTAAATAGGGTGAGTGCTCCCCAAGAATCGTCTAGTCATTACGAGATCGAACTTCTGTGGGGGTGTTGTTTCTGGTTAAAGGGGGTCATGTCACATGGCCAATATCAGTCAACCTACTTTTTTTTATCCATGAAGGACAGCTACAATAACCAATCAAAACAAATTCAGTGTAGGGGCGGGCCTGAAGTATCGCCCCTAAACCAATCAAATAGCACGTACAAAGAGGGGTTTATTTTTTCTTTTAAGCAAAGTTTTGGTTGTGTCGGCGCAGCACAAGGAACTGCCTATTTGCCATACGCCTCTAGCTCCGTAGCAGAACCAAGACAGGCAAGGAGTCGGGCGAGTGAAAGGCTTGGGAGTGAGTGAGTGAGCGAGCGAGGGACCCGTCAATTCATCCATCCCAGTTGTTAAGGAAAATTGCATTGCAGCAACCGCGCATCGAAGAGGAAACGGGAATAGCAACCCAAAAAAAAACGAGATATAAAAATGGATCATTATGATGGAGAGGAAAATACCGATTACAGGCAGCAAGAAGACGACTGGGACAGGGACCTACTTTTGGATCCTGCCTGGGAAAAACAGCAGAGAAAGGTAAAACGATCCCTCTATTAATTTAACGCCTCATTGTAAGCAAGGAAGGTGCTTGTTGAGGGGGCGGCATCTCCAGTTGCAGCAGCACGGATGTTGCCTGTGCGGGTCTGACAATCAGCGCTGGCTACAGGAAATTGATACTTTCATCTATCAGGGGTTAAGCAGTTTTTTAGCTGAACTGACGTCTAGTGAGGGAGCTTATTAAGCGATTATATACTGCGTATTTGCAAATTTATCAGTTGTGCCAAAGTAGAAGCTTCATCATACACACCTTCCCTTTGCAATAAATCGTTTTGCTGGTGCTTTCTACTAAATTCTCTCTTGTATGAAGTGTGCTATTAAAAAGCTGACCCACCGTATCAATTTCAGCTGAGCTGTAGACAGAAAGAAAACGGCTTTTTTGCCGTTTATCGATCTACACTGGAGTTCAGCGAGAATAAAATCGTAGGATTTTGGCAAGAGTAGAGCGTATTTTCCACATTTACAATGCTAACGTCACAAGCGCAGCAGTTCTGTTGGTGACAGGGAAAAGGCGCAGGAGAGGTTATCAGTTGAACGTTTTCGGAGAAAAGCGTTAGATGAGAAACGTTTACACAAAATGTGGAAAGCATTGTTGTCTTCACAACGCAACAGATGTCAGTTACAAAAAAAACATCGGAAACATCGACCGCAGAAGTTCTGCTACCTTCCTACGCTCCTTCAACTTCAACTTGTTATATCGCTGTTAGTAACTGTGACTGCATTTCTTTCCACGAAACGCTACACGGTTCCCTTACTGGTGATCAAAGCCGTTATAATGTTTCAGGAAAGAATAGGAAAGCTGCGATGACGGCCTAATTGAAGTCGAACGAAGGGTGTTGGCCCTTTGCCTTTAATTCAGGTAGTGATACTAAGGTGGTCTGTTTTAAAGCGATAACTTTTTGTTTGCAGTGAGCTATCATTTTAAAAGCGCGGAAGGTCGGGAATGAACCTATTATGTCCTCTTTCGATATTCGTTTCTGCCTTTTTTTTCTACTGACCTATAGGTTTTCTTGGTGTTACCCGAGGGTCCGCATTTCCGTCTTTATTTTACACATCTAGTTTAATGAGGCGTAAAGTTTTCCTCGCAAAGAATAAAACCCAATAGTTTAGGGCTCTCAGAAGAATTTAGCAGTTGGGTGAAATATTTGTCCTCTCGCTTCCACACTTTGGTATAAGCGGGGAAAATATTTTTTTTTTTTAGTTCAGGAATCTGAGTGAGCGGTGTGGTTTGGGTTGGGCATCGCTGCGACTGGCTTGCCCAAAAATGGTAATAATCGGCCCCTCTTGCTCATGTAAGAACACTTTTTTTTTGTTCCCGAAAACATCGGCTTTTAATTTTCGAGATTATGTCATTAGAGAGCTACCGTGCGGAGGGAAAAAAAAACACAGAGGAGAACAGGTATACGGAGTTCAAAATCAGAAGGTGCAGATATTATTTAAAGGTGTCGTCTCCAAATTCCGTCGAGACCGATCGGTGTGTATATCCGTTATAATGTATTTCAAAGCAATTCAGCATTTCCTTTCCCATATTGAACCTCAAAAAAGGCTGGCAAATTTTTACATTATTCTAAATATAGAATAGAAAAAAGGTTGGCTTTGCATGATTTCCCAAGATCACTACATTCTTAATTTCAACACAATGTCAGTTGTGTCAAATGTCCCTATAAAACTTCAAAGACTGCCCAGTATCTTCTGTGAAAATCTGAACAAAGCGTTTTTTTCTGAAATTGTTCTGAATTCAGACATGTTGTGCAATTAATGGGTAAAAGTGGAAGATTGTCGGATCAATAGGTCGTGCACCTTGGTTTCAGCTCACTGAAGACCACTGTGGAAGTCGGCAGGGAGACCTGGAAGGACAGGAACTGCTGTGGCTGTTGGAAGAAAGCAAGGGCAGTTTGATCAGGGCCCAGTCCGGACACTGAGGAATGCTTGTGTAACACTTGGAACTAAAGAGAAAAAGGCTGGGTTACAGATGTGAAGAGGGAAAGGCTGACTGGATTGAAGAGGGGGCAGGCTTTTTCAACTGTTTTCAGAGAGCAAGGCAAACTGGAACTAGTTCAGAGGGGAGGCAGAGAGTTAGGGAGGTTGGAGTCGAAATGAGAGAGGAGAAAAACGACTTGGGGAGACTAGATACGTTGGTTGAGGTGGGGGGGAGGAGTGGCGGGTAGAAGGTTTTGAAATAAGGTTGCTCCATTAGTTATGATATAGTAAGAGGGAGTCGGTCATATATTTTCAGTGTAGAAGTTGGTAGAGAGCTCTAACTCCCATGCTTGAGAAGGCTTCCAAAACCCCTGTAAAATAAATCACTTCTGCAAAGGTTAAAAAGTTTTGTGAAAGGCAACACACCCAGGCGTTTAGGGATATAACAGTGTGTCAGGCACGCCCCTGGATGCATAGGGCTGTTTTTGCAGCCTGAGTCTGTTCACAGAGCCCTTTTGTGCCTCAGTACCATTTAACTGCATACACTAATCAATTCTACTTGACTTACAGTCCTGCACGTTTGTGTAACAAATTAACAGCTCAATCCAGACGCTTTTTCCCCCTCTATTGTAAGTTCAGGGAGTGAATTAGCAGCCTCAGTTCTCATGAAAGACCACCACACACAATTATTTGCTGTCTTTTGGAGTGCCTGTGACTTTATTTTGCTTCCTGGTTGAGTCTTTGTCTTGAAGCAGACTCTAAGATGAGACTGTGAATCTGCAAGACGACATGTAATAAGACTGCCATCCATTGCTGGAAATGAACGGAAGTTTAAAAAGTTAATGGGGTTTGCGAATTCTGACTTTTGTTTATCTCCTCTAAAATTGTTATTCCTAGTCTTGTGGTATTATGAACAAAATGCAGCCAGTTTGGACAGCCTGCATTGGAGGTCAAGTCCTCTTAAAGCCATAAAAACAGAATTTTTGTAAAGTAGAAAAAAAGCGTTTTAAATCAGTTTGTGCTGGATATTTAGAGGCAAGCATGTATCCTGTTTTCAATTAACATTATTACTATTAACATTTGTAGTCTAGTTCTATTACTTTGGCAAAGTGTAAGGTCTTTGTTTGCAAAATAAGGAAAAAAATGTTTATATATCATCATTTACTTAACATCTCTCGCTGATTATCAGTTGTTTCTTACTGGCAGCCCTCTGTTGTGATGTTTTAGTGTGTTTCTTTTTCACAATGTGAAATGTGTAATAGACACAATGATAGATTTCAGCCTAGCAGTTTAATTCCACTTGTAATTATAGTGTTTTTTAGAAATTTCCTCTCTACTGTGTGACTTTTCACAGGGCAGGACTTGCTTCTCACAGGGACGGTTTGTGAATATTGTGTAGGTAATG